TCAGCCATAAAAAAAGACAAAATCGTCCCATTTGCAACAACATGGATGGGCCTCGAGGGTATTATGTTAAGTGAAGTAAGCCAGAAGGAGAAAGACAAACACTGTAAGATCTCAGTCATATGTGGAATATAAACCGACACATGGACAGAGAAAACTGTACTGTGGTTACCAGGAGCAATGGGGGTGGGGGGTGGGGGGTTGGCACAAGGGGTGAAGGGAGTCATATATATGGTGATGGACAAACAAAAATGTACAACCCAAAATTTCACAATGTTAAAAACTATTAAAACATCAATAAAAAATTAAAAAATAAAACAAAAAAAAATTAAAGACTTAGTCAACTCTTTATGTTTTATTATCATAACAAAGTAAAATATAGTCTTACTAAAATATGTCATAAAACAATTGCCATATGATCTCTAAATCTTGATCTGAGCAAATTTATAATTAAGTTTTATTCCCTAAACTATGGATAATGTTAAGATAGAGGCAACCAATATTAGGTTCTTTTTATAAGCTACACAAATATTCCTTTTTCTACTTCTTTAGCTACTTAAGTAACTCAATAGGAACCACTGAAAAGAAATCTAAATACATTTGGTAAATAAAAATGATGTAGGGTTTCAGATGGTCCAACAAGATGAAGAATTTACCATTGGAATTCTGTTAAATAACTGCAGGAGTTGTATTTTTGCCGTGGAAAACTTTCATCATGAAACACAGCTATGAAACAACTTTGGCTTCAAACAGAAAGGCTATAACAAAGTGCCTCCCAGCTAGACTTGGGTTCAGGAGGTTTATGGGGGTGAGCAGCAGAACAGAAATGTTTCAACAAGTCCCTCAGCTGATTGAGTTAGCATTCACAAAGCAGAGTAACCTACACATCACATACCCTTTGTTGGCTGGTTGTTTAGAATAGATGGATGAGTCACTGGATTTTATTTTAGCAATTGGGCAATGTAATTCTCCTTTTGCCCAAAATATTAAAATGCAGAAATGTGAAACTCAGAAGAGAGGTAATGTCAGCCCTCATACAGGATGCTTATCAACCACTGTGATGGATCAAGAAATTCTTCTGCTCTTGTGATTCCACATGTCACATTGGTAGGCACAAATGATAAATCACCTCATGCAAAAAAAAAAAATCTATTATTAAACTAGTCAGTAAACTACAGTATATTTTTTAAAAATTGTGTGTGGGGGAGAGGTGTTCGAGGGAGGAAGCTTGCAAACCAAAAGAAAGCTGGCGTGAGAGAAGTATAGGCAAGATTCCATCCTGCATGATTTCAAGTACAAATGAATCCCTCTGGGAGTTTGGGGAATTAATATATATATATATATATTTTTTTTTTTTTTTTCCCTCTCAGACACTGTTCAGAATTAATGAGGGTACCTGCGACGATGCTGGCAAGCTGCTGGGTTCTGGTGATGGGGTAGATGCTGCGTGCCTGAACGATTGCTGAAGCGATTTTCTTGGCATGCTTCTCCTCCCCGTATGTTCTCAGGATAGATGCAAGTGCCTGTTGATCTAGAGCGTTCACAACATCAGCTGCGGTGGGCATGTCAGGGTACCTACGCACAAGAAGAGCCAATTAGTTCACTGACGTCAGTTTTCATTGACAAGAGGTGAAACTTCAGAGTGCTGTGACACAAAGTCAGGCATGCACACATAGTCTAGGAGAGCGGCTGAGGTTTTTAAAGTCAGAGACTGAAATCCTACACGAGCGAAATAGATTTTCCATTTCAAATACCCATCATTATGGCAAGTGGGGACTGTGTGTGACATTCATCAAGGCCAAGGGCAGCAGGAAGTTAAAATATTTTATTAACCTTTAATTCACAAAGAAGTTATTATTACTCATGCAGATTTCCCCTAAACTAAAATAATGGAAAATGTTTGGATTTAGTTTGTTCAAAATTTACTGCTTAAACTTGTTTTTCAGTATAGAAGATACCAGGCTTAGTGACTGATATTTAAATAAGCCTAGATCTCAAGAACTTAACTAAATCTAAGACTGTAAAGGAACCAACTGCTTATATGGGGGCACAGATTGAACTTAGGAAGTCTATAGACGAAGAGACTGCTGGTCAGTTTTCCTCACAAAAACTAGAACAATCTTAATGTTAATAATGTATATTATTTCAAATGTTTAACAATATCGGCTTATACACCCACGACAAAAGTCACCATGGGGTAAAACTTGGTAATCAACAAATTGTACTAAACAAGTCTAGATGGTAATTTCAGGTGAAGGAAAAAGAAATACCAACTTCTGACCAAACAGAATAAATCATAATAGCAAGAAATAGCGTTCACTCTGTCAGATCATTCCAGTTTACCTTACTTTAGGGAAATGGGTCAAGGAATTCAAGGAATTCTAAGTGATGAGCTAACTGAGACCTTACTTATTAGAAGGATAGCTTTGCTAATAGTACAGTTACTACTCTTGTAGTTAATATGTTGGATTGATTGTTGGTACCATATTGTGAGGACGTAAAGCAACAAGGATATGATAGCTTTAAGACCTGAGGATCAAACCAGAGGGGGGTTGCCAAGAAACACCTGAATCTGTCCTTAAAAATACTACACTGCACCTGTTAACATGCCTAGTGCCTCCAAGAGAAAATTTTGTTGTTGCCCTTTGCTTGTCCTCTATTTTGCCATGACTTCCATCTCTCTCTCTCTCTCTCTCGCTCTCTTTCTCTTTCTGTGTTACACCTTGCTTTCCAGACCCTGCAATTCTTGTTTTATTTCTGGCTGCCATGGCACCCCCAGACCAATGAATATCCTATAAGGTAGCCCCGTTTCCATCTCAATAGGCTTTGCTCCTTCAATAATAGCTTTAAGGATAAAGATTTGGTCTTTAGAGTCAGATGGAGCTAGATGAGAATCCTGGAATTTCTACTCATATTGGGTAAGATTTTTAACCTAGTGGAGCCTCAGTTTCTAACTTGTGAAATAAAAGTAACAATGCTTACCTCACAGAACTGTTGGGAAAATTAAGGGTGCGTGTAACTGTAAAATACAGTATAATGCCTGGCACAGAGAAGCTCAATGAATGCCAATGTCCCTTAGATCTGGCCCATTCCTAGATTTGCCAATCGTTATTCTTGGCCTAATTGACAAAATCCCTGCTAGATCTTGCTTAGTTGTGAATTCAACTGCCCAAATCACTGAGCATTAGAATGAACCTTGTTAATAATGGTAAATTCAGACTCCATAGGATATAGTCCAGTTCCACCAGGACAATTTTAAGATTAGCAAGGATGTACTTAGCAGTTTTTTGTAATACTTTTCGACTTCTGAGTAAGAAAATTAAAACAGCAATTGTACCTATAAGTAGATAATAGGCACAATTTTATTTTACTCTCACGTTACTTTGCATAGCAGTCTAGAAGTTTCTATAGTGCTACAAGGCAAAAGCGGCAACACTCTGGAAAGCAGGCAGGCTGCTAGGAGGCTTCAGAATAGACATTCATATAGTGAAGAAGACACAAAATCTGGCCCCCAACTTAACAGTTAAGAAATCTTGTCAGTCCTCCAGAGACCACTGATTTACAGTGACTACATTCTCAAGAGAAAGAAAATATTAATGTAAGTGGCAATTTATTTTTACCTTCTAGTGAAGAATACAACTGACAACAGAGCTAGACCCGCAAGTCCTTGAAGCTGTGAACTTCTTTTGCCACATGGTAACCTTATAATCTGAAAGCTGTCGTTGAAATTGGGATAGCACAGAGGAAACTATGCTATAAGATTCCAGTGTTAAATGGCAACAGGTTAAGAAAGCCTCTTGGATCCATCTTCATCACAAGGATATATCAGCCTCCAGGATCTGACCAGTCATGTCTTTTGGCTTCGACTCCCTCTCCCCATAACACCACTTGGATCAGCATTGCACATATTTGTGTCTCTGACTCTCCTTTTTCTATGAATTCATGAGAACCAACTCCTCCTTTCCGAATACCACATTCTTTCTTCAGAGCTGTTAGAATCTTTGATTAGGTTACAGTCTATGCTATCCACCTGGAAGCCATCCTGCTTTTTAAGATATATCTGCTCATCTCTAATCTCATCCATTATGTATTGACTTAGAGTTTAATTCTCAAGGGCAATCTTATTTTCAAGTTCTTAGGTGAGAACCTCAGAACTCTGATTCACAGACCACAATTTGCTGATAAGTCTTTACATTAACACTATAGGGATTTACTACCATGAGCTGGAAGCTTTGTTCATGGTATTTCAGAAGGCATCCTCCTCAGCAAGACAGAGGAACAGCAGAAATTTGCTTGACATTTTATTACCTCAGCACAACAACTTCAATCTCCAAACATGAGGAGATATTTGACCTTTACTATTAGTCACTGGTTTTTAAAGGATTTTTATTATTTTCTTTTATGATCACATTTTTCATTCTATGAATGACAACTTGTGCAAAAGAAGGTATAAGACTCAGAACAAAAATGTTCCAACAAGAATGGGTCACAATCCAAGTTAACAGGTCATATCAAAACATGGGGAAAAGGCTACATGTGAATAATTACCATGGGACAAAGCAGTTTGTGGGAAAGAAGTCAAAGTCAACTCCATGTTAATTTGTTGCCTTAAACTGGACATTAAATTTCTTATATATAGGTTCTTCTAATAGACTGGAAGAAATTTTGGAAAACCTATTTGTTTCAGTAGAAATGTCTATGCAAGTCTAGAATTGCAGATTAGTAACAGAATGGTTTGCTTATTTATATATGAGAAAGTCTAACGTTCCTAGAGAATAAGCTCCCCAAAGGTAAGGCCATGATACATAATTTGGTGGGGTGGCAGGGAATTGGGGGCATGAAATGAGGGAGAAAAGCATGGTTAAGATTTGCAGGTACAGGCTGTTCAGTTCCTGGGCCAGTGTTGGGCATAGAAACAAGTGATAATCTAAACTTTTAAAATCAACTTAGATGTAAAAGAAATTATCCTATACTTTCCTAGAATGTGACCCACTTTGTGTTATTTAATATATATGTTCTTATTTGAACAATGGAGAACAAACACTAGTATTTTCAGGATGGTGAGGAATGAAGAGGCGGTGTAAAGCTGTCTATGCATAGTACTGTGTTTGACATAGTATCATAAATTGTAGTTTGTCTCAAGAAGATTGAACCCAAGTGACTGTACAAGAGACAGGACAAAACACACAATCGCTGATCTCTAGGATCTTGCCTTTTATGCAGCGTTCAAAAGAATATGCATGAAATATAGTTCCTTTTACTTCTCACAAGAGGCAGAGTTGGGTCTACATAAAAACGGAACCATCGTTTCAGATCATATTTATCAACTTTGTTAGTACTTTAAAATCTCACATTGTATCCATAAAAAAGATAATCAGTATGAAAGTTATCTTCTTCCCTATTTTGTATAAAGACAGCAGTGATTGTTTTTTTTTTTTTTTTAGAATCCCCAATCTAGAGAAACTGTAAAATCTATAATGAGTAGCAAACAAAACTGATTTATTATGTATGCATAGTGTTAGGTGTGGGCGTGTAATAGGAATTCGGCAGTCTTAAAAGGAAATTAAATTCAGAGTGTTTTGGAAAAATTGATTTCTTGTTGTGAGAAGAAATGCTTTATCAATACTCACCTGCCACCATCCATTCTCATGTCCAAGGGGCCGTCCTTCCGAAGGGAAAAACCTCTTTCAGGAGCATCAAGTTGCATGGAAGAACACCCAAGATCCAAAAGAACTCCATCCAAAGTCCCTGGCTCCACTCCAGCTTTCATTAATAAGTCTTCTGCCTGGCTGAATTGGCCCAGCATGGCTCGAATCTGTTTACTGTGAATAAACCCAGGAGATGGAGAAAACACTTCTGTTATATTAAAGTCTTTCTTAAGGTCTATAATCAATGGTAGGGAGCACATCCTATTATTATATTATTCAACCAATACACACTTACTAAGTGCCGACCACATGCTTAGTGCTACATACAGACATGTGGACATGCAAACTCTACATCTTTGGTTTCAACACCAGAGGTGATTTAATGTAATTCTGCTCTTGCTAATAAACACTATTTTATACCTTTGTGAACGTATACAATTCTAATATATTATAAAAATTCCTTTGTCAGACCAGGTCTTTCATTTTTTCTTAAAAAAAATTCTTAAGTCTGTGGGTCGGGAAAAGGAGCATATGCCATTCCATCAAAAGAATAAATTTAGAGATTAAAAATGCTGGCAAGGATGTGCAGAAAAGAGAATTCTGTGACCTGTTGGTGGGATTGTAAATTGGTACAGCCATTATGGAAAACAGTATGGAGGTTCCTCAAAAAATAAAAAATAGAACTACCATATGATCCAGCAATTCCACTTATGGGAATATATCCAAAGGAAATGAAAACACTATGTTAAAGAGATATCTGCACCCCCATGTTCATACCAGCATTATTTACAATAGCCAAGACATGGAAACAACCTAAGTGTCCATCAATGGATGAATGGATAAAGAAGTTATGGTATATATACAATGGAATATTATTTAGCTAAAAAAAAAGAGAAGGAAGTCTTGCCATTTTCGAAAACATGGATGGACCTTGAGGGCATTATGTTAAGTGAAGTAAGTCAGACAGAGAAAGACAAATACTGTATGATGTAACATATATGTGGAATTTAAAAAAAATAGAGAGAGAAAACCAAACTCACAGGAAAAGATTTCAGATTTGTGGGTACCAGAGGCAGGGGATGGGGAAAGGGGAATTGGAGGAAGGTGGTCAAAAGGTACAACCTTCCAGATAAATAAGATAAATAAGTACTAGGGATGTAACGTACAACACGATGATTGTAGTTAACACCGCTATATAGTATACATGAAAGTTGTTAAGAGAGTGAATCCTAAGAGTTCTCATCACAAAGAAAAAAACATGTTTTTTCTTTTCCTTCTTTTTGTATCTATATGAGATGATGGATGTTAACCAAACATTGTGGTAATCATTTCACAATACATGTTAAGTGAATTCATTATGCTGTACACCTTATACAGTGCTGTATGTCATTTATCTCAATAAAACTGGAAACAAAAGAATAAATTTAATGAGTAAGCCAATTTAAATACAATAAGTAATAAAACAGAAATCACAGAAAGAAAGACATGTCAAACATCTTCAAGCCAACCATTTTAGCTTTCTCCATATTTTTCCCATAATTTAGGATAGGGCTGCTGTGCAGCTGCACACTTGAAGTATGAAACTACGCCTAAAATAAATGCCTTCTTGCAGAGGCAATGTTTTAGCTCTCAGCAGGGATTTTGAAGTGAATGGAGCATTCAGAATCAACAGACAGGCAAGGAGTTGGGATTACCTTACAGCTATACTAATTCTTCTTCCTACACAAAGTAAGATGCTGCCTTCAGGGTTCTTCAGAAGCCTTAGGGCAACTGGCAGGCATTTTGGAAGGGGAATGAGAAGAGAAAAATTGGGCAATACTCCCAAGACCTCATTCCCTCCGTCTACAGGTGGGTAGAGTGAGTGTGGATTTCAGCAGTGTTGGGGAATTCATATTTATGGTTTTTACTTATATTTATTTGTTTAAGGAGAACTTCACAGCTCACTGGTAATGTTTTCTCAAATTCTGATGGAGAAAGTGATTTTCAGATCCACTCACCAAATATTCATTGAATTATCTGCTATGCGTCAGGCATTATGTTATTCGGAGGTACATAAAGATTAATAAAGCATGGCTGTCTGAGCTTTGAGCTGAGAGGAAGAGATGTATAAATAAATAGTTTGAAAAACAACCTGATGAGTGCTAACAGTAGAAAGATAAACAAATTGCTATGTCTGTATTTGGAAAATATAAAATGAATGCTAATACTAGCATTGAAAACATAAAAATAATAGAATCTTGGGATTAGAAGGCAACTCATAAATCATTTATTCCAATTATTTAACTGATGTTTGAATCTTTTCCCTCTCCACCATCACTGCTGGGGGCCGGGGAGGAGAGTCATTGTTTTAATCACCTCCCATTCACGCCATTGGTGTGGGAGGGATTCCCATTCTAGGATTATGGAAATGGCTGAACACAGGACACTTGACACTGGACAGGTGAGATTGACAGGAGTTTATCAGTTACATATACTCACAGGGCAGGAGCACACTACATGCCATGTGTGGCTACATGGGGGGTATACTCAGGACAGAGTGGACAACCAGAGGCTGTGGGAAGCAGGTTTTGTGGTATCAAGAGGGTGGAGTGCTGTTGGTTCCCATGAGAGGATGTGATTGGCTTATTTGAGTAATACCATGAGCAGGCAGGGAACTGAAACCTGCTACTCAGGCATAAGTAGATATTGTGCCTGATCCCTTTGATAAGGAGGGTCCTTTGACTGAAGAACCTTATCTGTGGGACCACAGTGGGGAGAAGAACTTGTGGTTAGGCATTCGAGACTCTCCCAGTTTCCCCAGAGGCCAACACCACACAATATTGGGCTTTAATTTTAGGCCTTACACCAGTCATCTAGCTCATGTTTGAACATTTCCCATAAGAACTCACTACTCTTTTTTTAGCCACTTCTTTTTTAGTTAAGTTGATAGCTGTTTCCTCATTATTTCTTTTTTTTTTTTTTTTGTGAGGAAGATCAGCCCTGAGCTAATATCCATGCTAATCCTCCTCTTTTTGCTGAGGAAGACCGGCTCTGAGCTAACATCCATTGCCAATCCTCCTCCTTTTTTTTTCCCCCACAGCCCCCCAGTAGATAGTTGTACGTCGTAGCTGCACATCCTTCTAGTTGCTGTATGTGGGACACGGCCTCAGCATGGCCGGAGAAGCAGTGTGTCGGTGCGCGCCCGGATCCGAACCCAGGCTGCCAGTAGCGGAGCGCGCACACTTAACCGCCAAGCCACAGGGCCGGCCCCCTCATCATTTCTCTAACTGTTATCTCTGCTATCAGTCCATATAAAACAATTGAAAATCTATCACCCCACAGCTTTCTACATATCTACTAGTAATTATTGTCAGGGATATTTGTTGGCTGCCTCTTAGTTGCCAATCTCTCTATTCCAACAGGTGCACAAAACTTCAGCCATGTGTTTTGAGAGAAACTGATCCTATCTATGATGGTTTGTGTGTCAACTGGGCTAGGCTATAGACCCAGTTATTTAATCAAACACTAATCTAGGTATTGCTGTAAAGGTATTTTGTAGATGCAGTTAACATTACAATCAGCTCAATTTAAGTAAAGGATATTACCTTCAGTAATGCGGGTAGGCCTCATCCAATCAGCTGAAAGGCTTAAAGAACAAAAACCGAGGTTTCCCAGAGGAAGAAGAAATTCTGCCCCAAGACTGCAATATCAGCTCCTCTCCGAGTTTCCAGCCTGCTGGCCTGCCCTACGGTTTCAGACTTGCCAGTCCTCACAATCATGTGAGCCAATTCCTTGAAATAAATCTCTTTATGTGTGTGTGTGTGTGCGCGCATGCGCGCGTGCACAAGTATGTATGTATGTACGTCTCCCACTGGTTCTGTTTCTCTTGAGAATCCTAACAGATATAATGTCTCAGCTCAAAAGGTAGATTTCTGATTAGCTAAGCTAATTTGCATACCCCACCCTCATGACCCATGAGGTAATTTGTTCAGAGATTTGCATGTGTCACAACTCTGGCCAATGAGATAAAGAGATATTTCCTAGGGAGTTGGGAAAGAAAATTCTTTCTTCCCATGAGCTACTCAAGGAAAAAGGTTTTTCCGACTCTCACTTGATATGAAAGCAGCACATAACTCTGATTATTGCCAGCAGATGTCTGGATCCAAAGAAGGGAGAGGGTGGCAGCCAGTTTGGGCCAAAACCGTAGAAGGCAAAGTAGAAAGATTAATCAGGTCACTAGATTGAGCCTCGCCTAAAATCCACCTTGTCTCTGAACTCTTGAGTTATATGAGCCCATAAATAGCCTTTGTTATTTAAAACCAGTGTGAACTGGTTTTTCTTTTACTGGCAATGGAAACCATCATAACTATTAGAGCTATCATGTTCCTCAAGTCTTCCTTTCTCTAAGTCATACAGCTTGTTTCTTCTGCTAGTCTCCATACAAAATATCTTTCACCACACTAGTTACTCTTTTCTGAATGTCTAAGGACACAGTCTGCCTGTGTCACTAGATCTGAATTCCATAATGATCAGCACAGAATAAAGTAAATTCTTGCCTCTCTTGCTCTAGTTATTATAGTGACACAGCTCAAGATCAAAGCGGTTGTAGAATTTATTGCACACTGCTGACTTACATGACCCGATACCCTGGACACTTTTTCGTGGACACCGCTGCTAAGGCTGCTTCCTCCACACTGTACTTGTTCAGTTTTGTTTTGTTATTTTCTAAGTACAATTTCTGCTCTACACATTTTCTACAACCCTTTTAGGATCCAGGTATTATCTTTAACCACAGAAATCTTCTTTACACTGCAGCAAAAGCCTAAAAAACATCACAATTGCCCAGTCTTTATTCCTTAGGCATTACAGCTATTACCGTGCTTGAAGTTAATATACTTGTAAAATAAAAATAATACCTTATAGGGAGTGTTTGCACTCTTGGGTGCCCTCAAACATTAACTGTTCAACACACAATACTTATACAGTTTCATGCCTCACTATGAGTAAATAACAAAAATGTAATCCTTGTGGTATAAAACTCAGCATAATGATATACAAGTATGAGAATATCATATAGGTAAAAAAGTAACCATGAGGCCACACCACAAAGTAAATCATGTGTTTAAGTTAGAGTTTTTTGACACTGTATCACTTATATGTTTAGAGAATTAGATTGTTCTCAGAATTAAAGAAAC